TTCCTTCCTTCCTTCCTTCCTTCCTTCCTTCCTTCCTTCCTTCCTTCCTTCCTTCCTTCCTTCCTTCCTCTCTCTCTTTCTCTCTCTCTCTCTCTCTTTCTTTCTCTCTTTCTATTGACAAGGTCTAATGTTGATTTCCTTGGGCATTTAGAGAATCTACAATTCTATGGTTGTATCCTGGCACATTGAAATTTGTGATGAGATCACCCATCTGTTTTTTTGCACTAGCTTAGAACTAAAGGTTTAGTATTTCATAGGGTCATATCCTGATGCCCTTACTGCTCTTAAGGTAATATTCTGTAGAGAGCTGTGTTGACTTATGTCCTTGCCTGCTGCATTCGAAGATTCATACAATGATTGCTTTTATCTGGCTTTTGGTAGGAAAATGTTATAATTGCCCAGGTGTTAATATAGCTTGTGGTTTTATCTTTCTTTCTAATGAAAGGAAGATTAGAAATACTTTGTTTGAAGTCTATCTGGAAAAAAATGCTAATAGTTCAAATGCATATTTGTGAGAAGAGAGGAAAAACAGGGAGGTGATATCCTTCTCCTGTGAGATCTTCTTGGACTGTTCCTATGGGAGGTTAACTAATGGGATTTCTATGGGACAGAAATCCCAAAGACCACTTCAACAATACTCTAACTTACAAACACTTACAAACTTCAGGCTCTCTGTGGTTAATCATTCATATGAATTAGCACTGCAAGATTTTTAACACCCAGCTTGAATTTAATTTCAGTCCGTGCTGTCCATCATTGCTTTTCCTTATCGGGTTTTTGAGATGACAGAACACACAATGTATCTAAGATTCGATTCTGGCTTTAAATATTTAGAGTCTGAATCATACCCATTTGTACTTCATCTCAAGGTTGAAGTAATGTGGCAGGACACACATTCTGCAGTAGTTCAAGCTCCAGAATCAAAGGAGAGCTGAATTATTCATTTTAAACTTTTAAGCAATTCTCTTTGTGGTTCTGCACCAATTTACTGCCTGTGGTGAGCTGCTGGCTTGCGAGCTGTGAGGTTGCCTTCCACACCACATCCCCTTACCCTGGTGTGCCAGCCATCACCATCGCCGTGCTTGCTGCACCCACCGAGGTCTGCGGGTCGTTTGTGTCAAGGGCACAAACTGACTCAGCCTATGGAATTACAGCCCGGACTTCAGAGAAATATTTAACTCAAACTTATCTCTAATTGTCTGTCAAATTTCAGAGTTTCATCAGAAGAGACAGTTTCCACTGCTTGTGACCCACAGGCATGGCAGCAGCCCAAAACTTTGTTATCCAAGATGATAATATCCAAAGTTACCTCAGATAACTTTGTTATCCAAGAAAGGAGGCTAATTTTAGCCCTTCTCCATCAAGAGAAGAACCCGAGAGCAGACGTGTTTCCCGCCATGAGCCATTGCATCAGGGTCAGGAGCAGGTCTCCGAGGCTGGCCAAACGTTGAGTGAGGAAGGAGGACACGGCTGCCTCCGTTGACACGGAGCCATGGAGCCCAGGGAGAGCTGCCCTGAGTTTGGGCTGCTGCAAGGGGCTGCCTCTGGGGCCGCTCTGCCCAGCTAGGATTGCCATGCGTGCAACGTCTTCTTCGTGTTTCCCGTGCTTGCAGGTAGCCCAAGGAGGAGTCTGGGATGAGTTGTACCACGTGGCCACACTGCAGAGCACGAGGCAGAAACCTCCAGCACCGAACCAGCGTAGCCAGAGCCACACGTGTGGTCCCGCCATCCCTGCCTCGTGCTGCCCAGCTGGAAGTAGAGCTGGCACCACAGGGATCTCCACGGCATCCAGGCAACGTCTTGGTGCTCTCAGCTCTCTCGGGGGGTAGGGGCTAAAGGCAGAAATGTCTTACAGGGCCATTACAGGTTAGAAGCACTTAAAGTTATTTTACTCTGTGTCTGCACCACAGATGTGAGTTCACAGCCATATTATACTCAGCAAGAGCTGCATTTCACATTTGTTTTCCCAAACTTTTTAGTGACTCCTTTACTTTGCTCACAAGTTTCTCCACAGAATTGATGTAGGTATAGCTTTTGTTCTGCTCGGGTATAGTTGGGCTCTGTCATGGCCTGCTATCCATATGCATGAAAAAATGTTCAGTTCCTGACAGCAAACCTATTTTCTAAATACTGAAAATATTCAGTGGCAATTCTCTTTAGTTTATTTGTTTGTGTTTTAATATGGAAATTTTAGCCTCACAAGCCACATATTTTATTTTTGTAAATGGAGCTCTGTTCTGTTCTTGCTGGAGCAAATGGGCATTTTGTTCATTTCTCAGATCCAAGAATTGGACACAATACAGTTTGCAACACTGTAAGGCTAGAAACCTATTTGGTTTGGCAGTACATTAGGCTATTTTGTGAAAAGTTCTCCTAAACACAATTGTACTTTATGTAACCAGCAACACAATCTTTTTCTCCTCTGTTTATTGTTCAAAATAGGGAAGAAGCCAAACTGTGTTGCATGAGCAGGGACATGATATTCAAGAACGATCTGGCATGTGAGAGCAGGAAATTCATGGGCCCAAATTCCTAAGAAATAGAGAGATGATGAATGGATTCAGGTCAAGGACATCTGCTTTCCCTTATCTTTTCAACACAGTCTTAGGTAGTTTCTGCCACCACACTCCAAACGTTGCCCCTGCACACCTCAAATGCACTGAAGTGTATAGGAGTGATTTAAAGGGACCCTGGACATGTCCTGCAATTCAAGTGAATTGCTTTAAAATCAATAAAATTAGTATCTTCATATAATCAGCATGGGAGGGAGAAATACTGGTGACAAGGAACCAAACAGATCCTACATCAGATTGATGAGTGTCCTAGTGCCTCTTTCACAAACAGAGGCTGTTGTGCCTTGGCCTGGCCATTAAAAATGATGATTATTGTGTGGAATCATTTATACTCAGACATTGTCTTTGTCCAAGAATCTTGAAACATTTTACAAACATTAATTAAGCCCTGTGAGAGAGGATCCTCTTTCTGTTGATGGGAAAAAAAATAAATAAAATAATAATGAGTTGCCTAAGGTTAAAGAACAAGTTAATGGCACAGTCGGGAATAAAATTTAAGATTCCACATCCTTGGCACCTCACACTAACCTGCTGGCATCATTCCATGTACCGAAAAATGAAAATCGATCCAGCTAAATTGCTGTCTTCAAGCTGATGATTTTCCATGGTTTTCTGGGAAAAAAAATATTGACACAAAGGTGGGAGAGAAGCCCCACCTGGCAAGCATGGCCTGTGTTAGAGTTGTTCAAACTCCAGCACTCAGAGAAAGCCCCCTGCCTTTGCTCAATTATGTACAACTACTGGAAAAGGAGCTTGCCCAACTTGCACGGCGTCTATGGACACTCAGCATCTACAACAGGGATATAGGGTGCTGGGTTTTTAGTGTTTCACAACACATAGTCTGATCCATCCTATAAACTTGGGGAAGATCTTTGATAGCTGGTTTGCAGGACAAAATACAGAGCTACAATCCTTGTAACAAGTTTGTGAGCGTGCCGGTTTGGCACCATGTACAATCGCTCAGCTCATGATGGACTGTCTGGGGTGCATCTGCCTCAGCTGCAGCCATCAAACCTGTAACTCCTTCAGCACCAGTTGCTTTGGCCCAGGAAGGGCACCCATGCTCCATCACCCATATGGATCCCATACCCATATGGATCCCATTTTGAGTTACTCAATGGTGCCGAGCCAGAGGCACCCACACAGCAAGGCTGTTCACCCTGCCAGTCTTCTCCTAGCTCACCATGGCACCAGAGGGCTTCTCCACAAGCCAGCCCAAATATTTACAGGAGGCAAAAGTGCTTGTGATGAGTTAAAATATTTCCCCAAAGACAAGATGGTGGGAATGAGTTGTTCGGGTGAAGCTGATGCTTTTGGCTTTGGCTCTGGGGAAAAAAGGATTTGCTGGAACTGAATGAAACATGAGCTGTTAGGGGAAAAAAAAAAAAGCAATATAACTGATACAAAGAATTGCACGATACTTTAAAGATTTTCCCCTTTTAAATAACCTAAAATGTCATTTAGCCTGGGTAAGTAAATTTGATTTTATAGATACATAAATATATATATATATACATGTGTGTGTGAGCAGGGGATGTTGTATAACTACATTTAATGTGGCATGTCTTTAATAAAACTTTCCTGTGCAAAACTCCTGGGGATTTTAATTCAAGCAACTAGCCATAAAGTTTTCCCCATAATATTAAATTATGACGGCTTCGCCCAAGGCTTTAACATCGTGAAGTTCTGTTCTGTTCTTTGAATTACTGTGTGATAATCAATATTAACAG